CCCACGCGATGGGCCTGGGGACGCGCGCTAGGGTTCAGCCTGTCGGTGCTCGCGGCTGGGGCGGCGGGCGCGAGGGCGGAGCTGAGCCGCTCCTGGACCCCGATCCCGCCCCGGCACCCCGGACCCTCGGGCTTCCCTCTGCGCTCTACGCTCTGGGCGTGCCCAGGGAACTGCCTTGCTCGGGCTGCTTAAGGTGTCAGACCCGGCTAGTTCTAGGTCGCTGGCCCAGACCCAGTCTCCGTACTTTCCTGGGTGTGCTCCTTCTAAGAAGACGCAGCACGTGGGCAGCGGCCTTTTGCCCCAGCTTGCGCTTTCCCGGCCCCGGTTTCAGGGCTGGCGTGTGCTGTGCACCCAGTGTGCGCGCTTGCGCTAGGGCGCCCCCGTCGGCCCTTCACCTCCTTGTGGTTTTAAGGGGTAACAGATTCCAGCAGAAGCAACACGAAGTTTTTAATCTAATAATTAATTAGGCTAATCACTGATCACTGCACATCAGAATCACAGGGGCAGGGTGGGGAGATTAAAACACCAGTTACCGCTCCGCCTTGGGATTCGGATTCACCAAGTCTCTGTTGGGGCCCCCAGTGGCATTGTTAACATCCCCAGGTGATTGCCACCTCTGGGAGGGAGCAGTTGCTGCTCCCCTTCTCTCCAGGCCACATCCTTTTAAGCAAAGTTCAGACCCATTCTAGAGCCCCCTGCGCAGAGAGTGTTGGGAAGTGAATTTAGGCGAATACAGGGGCCGCCACTTTCTTTCAAAGGCGTGGCCTCTGACGGTGACCACTATTTGCCGAGTCTTTGCAGGGCACAACAGCAACACGGACATGACTGCCTGAATCAGTTCCCACCCCCAGGCCGGCCCCGAGGACAGCAGGCTTATAAAAATCTCCTTTCTGGCCCCACCGTGGGAAGACGTAGAAGTCAGGCCAAGGGGGCCCCGGGGACAGCAAATTGTGTGTGTGGGTGGGGGGGAGGCAGCTGAGGAGGGTGGTCAGCAGGCAGGCTTCTCTGTTGTTGGGCATTTAGTGCCCTGGAGGGAAACACAGCAAGCTTATTTTTGTTTCAGTGTAGTAGATTTCAATGCGAGAACCTGGAGGTAGGGTTTCCAGTGTTTTTCTTGGCACACCAGGTCTCTGTGCAGCCTCCCTACACTGGGCCCCTCAGCAGCAGGATCTCCTCAGCAGGATGTTCCCTAAACTTGCCAGAAGTTCCCTGAAGTGGTTTTAAAATAACTCCTAACCTCCCTGGGAGGTATGGGTGAGGCCTAAGCAAATTTCCTATTTGAGTAAGGGGAGCAGGGATGACTGTGAGCTTGACCCCTGGCGATTCCTGTCCTTTGCAGTTCAGGAGACACTAAGTACAACCATTCTCTCAGCTTGACTCGATCACCTGGGGTGGGGGATTGGGAAGCCACAGACTGGTGAGGCCTCATCTGATGTGTCTGACCCAGTAGGCAGAGAAGGCGTTTCTAGCAGGTTCCCAGCTTGTCTGGGGATACCCTTTAGGTACCCTAGGTGGGAGTTAAAAGAATGGAAAACAACCTCTGGCTTATTTCTCTTCTCTTTCTTTCTCTCTTTTTCTTTCTTTCTCCTTCCTTCCTTCCTCCCTCCTTTCTTGACATAGGTGACAGACAGTGAGAGGGAAAGTGAGAAATCACTCCCCAGGAGGGATGGCCATGCCCGCAATCCTTTCTCCTTCTCCTCCTGGGATTTTGGGCATGCGCCTGCCTTGGGCCTGCCTTGATTTTCACGGCACAATTCAGACTCAAACTGTGGTGGGCCATGTGAGAGTCCAGCGCCTTAACCACCGTGCTATCTGCTGGCCCCATGACCTTTGGCTTTATCACTTACCATCTTGTGACCTGAGATAAGCCATTTTCTTCTCTGCTTTTGCAAAATATTGGTATGGAGAGTTGGTGGAGATAAAACACTTCCCCCCAAAGGGGCAGAAGAATATACAAAAGCCACGTCTTACTATTAGCAACAGACCAGACCAGGATGGAATTCTTGCATAGAAGGCAAAGGTCCAAGGCAGAGGACAGGGAGGCAGGACATGCCCTACAGGCCAGCCTGGCACTGCCCACTTGGCAGTGTGCCCAGCCTGGAGTTTGAGGAAGAGGTTTAATCCCCAGCAAACAGCCTCTAAGGCGGATCAGCCAGGACAGCCCAGAGGCTAATGTCTCTTCTAGCTGGGGTCACAGAGAAAAGCCGCCAGCTTCCTGTCCCTGGAGGAGGGGCACCTTCTGGGCCACTTTCCTGCATGCCCCCCATGGCCTGCTCTTTTTTCCGGCTCTGTGGTGATCTGGAAAGCTCTCACTCTTTCTCCACAATGCCTTCTCCTGGCCAGACTCCTTTTCGTTGACCTGCGGCCCTTAGTGCCACTGGAATCCTCTCTCAGCAATTTCAGGACCCATCTTCACTTGTAGCTTCATCTTTGTTTATAGTTTCAAATGCTCCCTAAGTCTCAACTGATTTAAAGGGGGGGGGTGGTGTCCCATTAGCTCAGTTCTGAACATGGGAGGCATTGTCATTATTAGTAATAATAATAATAGCAATTCCTATGTGTTGCGTGCTCATATGTTCCAAGTGCTGTGATAAGTACCTTACACACAAGATCCAGAGGTTCCTCTTATCATCCCCTTTCTGCAGATAAGGAGACAGAAGCTCAGAAAGGTTAGGATTCCCATATGGCTGGCCGTTGTTCGAGTCCCAGTCCTGGAAGCTTGCTTTCTTTCTTTTCCCCTCTCTGTCTCTCTCTGGTGAGTGCATGTGCCCTATTAAAATTCGAAAAATAATATTCTGGGCCACTTTCCTGCATGCCCCCCATGGCCTGCTCTTTTTTCCGGCTCTGTGGTGATCTGGAAAGCTCTCACTCTTTCTCCACAATGCCTTCTCCTGGCCAGACTCCTTTTCGTTGACCTGCGGCCCTTAGTGCCACTGGAATCCTCTCTCAGCAATTTCAGGACCCATCTTCACTTGTAGCTTCATCTTTGTTTATAGTTTCAAATGCTCCCTAAGTCTCAACTGATTTAAAGGGGGGGGGTGGTGTCCCATTAGCTCAGTTCTGAACATGGGAGGCATTGTCATTATTAGTAATAATAATAATAGCAATTCCTATGTGTTGCGTGCTCATATGTTCCAAGTGCTGTGATAAGTACCTTACACACAAGATCCAGAGGTTCCTCTTATCATCCCCTTTCTGCAGATAAGGAGACAGAAGCTCAGAAAGGTTAGGATTCCCATATGGCTGGCCGTTGTTCGAGTCCCAGTCCTGGAAGCTTGCTTTCTTTCTTTTCCCCTCTCTGTCTCTCTCTGGTGAGTGCATGTGCCCTATTAAAATTAGAAAAATAATAATAAATAAAAATAAATAAATATTTAAAAAAAAAAAAAGAGGCAGAGCTGTGATTGAAATCCAGGTGATTCAGTCTAAGCACTTGTTATTCAAGTCAGCCTTTTTTTTTTTTTTTTTTTTTAAAAGAGAGATTTTTACTATAGGGCACATGGCTGGAGAGTCAGGGAGACCAAGAGACAGAAAGTGAGAAATTACCCCCTCAAGAGGGATGACCATGCCACAGTCCCTCTCCTCCATTCTCCTCTTGGGATCCTGGGCATGTACACGCACACTCCAAACTTGAGTTTTAAGCTGCTGGGTCTGGGACTCAAACAGTGGTCGACTATGTAGGAGTCCAGCAATGTAACCATTGTGCCGTCTGCTGGTCCCCAAGTCAGTCTTCAAGAAGGCTTTGGAATAACAAGGCTTGCTTGCCCATCTCAGTACATGGGCCACTTCTAGCAGAAGCAGTGGGTAAAGGGTATGCTGTGAACTGCCCTGAACATTCAGGTGAGTTACAGATTGTGGGAACAGGAACATTCCTTTCCTCTAAAGGATGTCCGACTTGACCGAGACAAGAGGCAATGCCTGCCCTGTGGCAGGGACTTCCAAACCAAACCCAAGCTTGTACATCCTTTGGTCTCTTCCCAGAGCATCCAGGGCATGTAACTGGTAGCTATGTTATACCAGAGCTGGGACAGGAGACCAACTGTTGGCCATATGACTGTCGTGGGCTCTTGGCCTCCTGTGGAACCTTCAGGTCAGCGTGCTGTTCTACACTGCAGGGGAGAAATCACTCTGCTCTGTGGGTGAGAGATACAAGCTCTGAGACCCCCGCCTGCCTGTGTGTGGGACAATCTGCTCTCGAGGCCTCCTCCTACCAGCCCCACCATGCTGCTGCCACTGCCCTCAGCTAATTTCATACCCAGGGAATACTAGGCAAGTGAAGGTAGATGTATCTCGAAAGGGAGCGAGAACAGGCTCGCACCTCTCCAATGTGATACTTTGTGCAAATTATAAAAAGCCTCTCTTCTTCAGTATGCTTTGCTCTCATCTTTCTGAAAACTGTCATAATGCAGATACAAATATGCCATCACCATGATGGGAATGGCGCCCCCTAGAGTTGTTCGGGGCACACAGGAGCTTTGGCTTCCTCTGAGCCGGTGTAGAGCTCAAGTAATTCTGCCTTCCTCCTCCTCCATTCCCTACTTGCAAATCTCCCCCATTTCTCCAACGAGATAGGGATACCTGTTGGGGGGGGTGCAATAAGCATGATGCTGATGACCTTCTAAGTTCCCCCCCCACAAAAAAGGGGGAAAGTATATGTGAAAAGGTTTTTGTTTTTGTTTTTTTGCCAGTTTCTGACATCAAAAGCCAGTCAGAACAAGGCAAATTGGATACTACAACATCAGACTCCCTAAATATTTTTTAAAGCCCAGGAAGAGAAACGGTCCAGGAAATGAAGGCCCTGAGAAAAGGGTAGTGTGTGTGAGACCAGAGTGGGAAGCAGGGAGGCCAAGGGAAGCCGAGGGAGGTCGAGGAAGGAAGGCGTTGTGTGATGTGCTGAAGGAGGCAGAGAACAGAACTGCCCACCCAGAATTAGGCGTCTCTCCGCAGGGCATTGTGGTCCTGGTTCCTTACAGCCGTTCTTTCCTTGGGTCTGCTGTTTCCAGGAGTGGCTACGAATCTGCCTCGAAGGACTTTGTGCCTGCTGACTTGGAGGTTCAAGTTCCTGGGAGAGCCTTCCTGATCACCGGCGGGAACAGTGGCATTGGCAAAGTGACTGCCACAGAAATAGCCAAGCGAGGTGAGCTACTACTGACTTCTGTGTCTGTGAGCGCATGGCAGCCTGTGGCTGGGCCGCACTGGGCAGAGCACGCCTGATGCAGGCAGGAAGGAAGGCCTGGCCTGGGAGCCCGTGGGGATGGGCACAGCTGCCAGCTTTCCAACTTTCAGCTAGAGACAGAGCAAGGCACTGAAGCCCTCTCCTCAACATGTAACTCATTCTTGGGAGAGCTCATGTGTCACAGTGTTTTTTGATTAAGAACAGTAAGGAACTCAGGACCAGCAGCTAGTGTAATGGCTACGTGGCTGGACTCCCATGTAGTCGACCGTGGTTCGAGTCCTAGACTTAGTTGCTTAAACTCGTGCCGGGTGTGTGTGCGTGCGTGCCCAAGATCCCGAGAGGAGAACGGAGAAGAAGAGATTGCAGTGTGGCCATTCCCCCCTGGGGGGGGGGGGGGTTTCTCACTTTCTAGCCCTCTCCTCTGGCTCTCTGTGTCTTTCTGGTGTGCACACGCACCCTGTAGCAAAAAAAAAAAAAAAAAAAAAAAAAAAAAAAAAAGAAAGAAAGAAAGAACAGTAAGGAACTCAAGACAACCCTGGTCATCAGAATCCTCAGTGGAACTTAAATAAGAACAAACACATGGATATCTGGGCTCAGCCCATGCCTTCTCAAGGAGAGTCTGAGAGCATGGGACAGCCTGGGAATCCACTGCAGTTTGGATGGGCCCTGTTGAGACCCAGTGCCTTCCAAACAACTGGAGGTGGGGGTGCACTGAACTAACTTCCTCCTTGCTGGTGTCCAGCCTCCAGGCTTAGAGCAGCCTCCTACACTCCCTCTCTGACCCTGAGTGTAAAGAGACTCTCCAGGTGCCTGTAAATTATTCAACCAGCCAAGTCTTCAAGAGAAAAGCCAGAATTTCTTACACGGACACAACAGCCCGAATGGTGCTGCAGTGGCTAGAAAGTTTGCTATGTCTCTCCAGAGCCTCTTCTCCAGGAAAGATTTATGTTCCCGCAGAAGTCAGGGAAATAGGAATTTATCACATTTCAAGATGCTGAAGACGTTTTCCCTTTTCTCTCTCTAAAGCAAAGTTAGGCATTTGCCAGGTGGATATTACATTTGGAGCTTTATTTAATTATCTGCCGAGTCAGGGAAAGGATAACTGATCTTAGCAGCTAAGAAGTGCTCTTAAGTTGTGGAGAGAAGAGAGGACGAAATAGACCCCGTTTAATAACGTGGTGATTTTTACTGAAAAAAAAAGAAAAAAGAAGCAGATTCTGTACTAATTACTTCTTAACTGCTGCAGCCAAAACACCCCCCTTTAAAGAAACCTGGATTGATGGTGATATGGCATGGTCGCTGGAATGATACACCCATTTATAGACTCAACATTGAATAAATATTTACTGAGCCCCAACCATGTGATAGGCCATGGTTTGCCACCACTGAACAGTGCTGGACATGAGGTCACCTGGGGAGTTTTTGCCATATACCTGGGCCTGGGCCTATCAGATGGAGCAGGAAGAGCTACCCAGGTGAGCCAGAAGAGCAGCCAGGCTTGCGTTCTCTGTGTCAGGTAGTCTACTAGATGCTAGGGACGCAGGTGTGACCGTGATTGCTATTTCTTCACCTTGATGTGTTGACACACTTTAGGACAAAAAAATCGGACAGTATCCCAGATGCACTGTCAGTCAGCCCAGATAGGCCAGAGAGAGAGATCCAGCTTCTCCCTCATGATCGCCCCTCAGCGCTCTGTCAGCCCATCCAGCTACATTAAACAGAATGGTCCCAATTTCATGTATTCTTTTTGTGGCTTCACTTGGTAAAGCTGTTGCCGTTAGCTGTCGCCATAACTCACAGATGGTTTTGTTCAATTCCACCAGGTGGCACAGTTCACCTGGTTTGTCGAGATCCAGGAAGAGCAGAAGGGGCCAAAGGTGAGATCATCAGGGAGAGCGGCAATCAGGTGAGCTGCTCCTTGGCCCTCCTGCGGGGATCTTTGCCTCCGTGGTCAAGTGTGAGGAGGCCGGACTCCTGCCCGCGGTTTCTGTGCTGGCAGTGGCCTGTGAGTGTGCTTCTGCCTTGGAAGCAGCCTCTGCCCACGGAGAGCCGGAGCCCGGCTTTTGAAAGGCTGGATGTGACCGGGGTAAGTGGAGCACTAAGGTTTAGCTCCCTGGCCCTGGGCTGCCTGTGGAGACAGCAGATGCCAGCAGGGGGAACTGATCCTCGCTGAGGGGACATTACGCTGGACCGTGGCACTGCCAGGCTTTCCACCGCAGAGGGAGCCCATGCCAGAGAGACACATCGGAGTAACTCTGGTGCCAACAAACTATATATTGACCCACTGGCCTTCCAAGAAGGAGTAACAGCAACTGAGTTTGGTCTGACAAGAGCTTTCAGACCTGGCTTATATTTTTTGGTTCTTCCTCTTCTGAAAGAGTCAGAAACCAGGACCAGCAATATTATTCACGGGACTCACTTCAAAATGAACATGTGGGACCCTCATGACAAAGTTATTAAGAATTTCAGGAAGGTGAAGGCAGACTGTTAAACCAAGCTCTGGAACCTTCTGAATGTGGAGTCTGTGCGATTGCACAGATCCTACGCCCATGAAGCCGGCCTTGCATGGGAAACCTGAAGCCCACTGTCAAGTGGAGAGAGAGGACCTCAGGGGCTGCCCCTCAGTTGCCATAGCCACTCACTGTCACTAAAGAATGTTCTCATTCCATCCACACCTCTCTCCCATGGGCCTCCTTCTCCAGCAGACCCCACACAGGGGGTAATCTCTTAAGAGGCGGTCTGGGGAGGACCAGACAGCACCCCAGGCTTGGACATTGGCCAAAGTGAGGGGGTGGGGAAGCCCAAATCTAAGATAGAGTATTTTGCATCAGGTTATGAAGGTTATTTATTTTTTAAAAAATAGCATTTTAAAAGCAAGTGGCTGTTCCATTCCGTCTCACAGACATCCCTAGGCTCACGCCATCAGGTACCTTATAGAGGCTTAGTGCTGGCGGCGAGCGTGAGGGTCTCTAAATCTTCCTCTAATGTCTACAAGAGCCGCTGCGATCCGCGGGCTGCAGTTCTTGAGGCTGAAAGCTGGCTGTCTGCCTGCTGATAACTTTCAGTTGTGCTGCTGCAGGATGCAACAGGAATACTAATCTCTGGCCACAGACAGGAGAAGGTTTGCCTGGAGTCTAGCCTGCCATTTGGGTCACAATTTTTAAAAAGTAGATTACAGAGAAAGAGATAATAACATGGTTCTGTTTATAGTCCACACCATTCTTCTGCCCAACTCCACCACCTTTAGGAGGGATGTGGAGCTGAAAAGGGGAGCAGACCTGTTTCCCAGGGTGAGGAGAGAGCGAGCCCTTCATCTTCTGCCCCCTCACTTGTATACACACCCACAGATAGGCTTGGAACACACACACACAGACATCGACTCCTCTTTTGTGTTTGTAAGTGGCTTCCAGCATGCAGAGCTTAGGGGTCCAGGGCTGACAGTGTCCCATTGCTGGTACCTGTGAGCCTTTCCTGGCACAGTGTCTCCTCTGGGCCCCACCAGGCATCAGCGCTCCTCGCTATTTACAATAAGCACCACTCCACGGCTTCAGCTGGCTGCCATCCATGGGCGGCCCACACAACAGCGTGGCATGGTGGGAGGACCTAGGTCCTGCACTCGCTAGCCTTGTGAACTTGGGCAACGTTCTTAGCTTTCCTTAGCCTCCATTTCCTCATTAAAAATAGGGGTGATAGGGACCAGCAGTTAGTGTAATGGCTGTGTCATTGGGCTCCCATGTAGTCGACCATGGTTTGAGTCCCAGACCCGGTGGCTTAAAACTCACGCCGGGCATCCCGAGAGGAGAATAGAGGGGAAGGGATTGCAGCATGGCCATCCCCCCCTGGGAGTGACTTCTTGCTTTCTGTCTCTCTGTCTCTCTCTGTCTTTTCGGCGAGCGCACGTGCCCTGTACCAAAAACCTCTCCCTAAAAAAAGGGAAAAATAATAGGGGTGATAGTACTTTATCCCCTATTTCTCCAGCTCCTACACCAGCCAGCTTCTGGCTGGGCTTGGCCAGCAGTGGGACGTACAGGGAGATTAGTAGGTGAGAGGAAGAGGAAGCCAGGATACTGACTTCCCTGGCAAAGGCAGAATCTCTTTTCTGGTTCTTCATGTCCCTGGGCTCGGACCACACTGTGTTTTCACCTTGTGCCTTGAGCCTAGGGCTGGTAGTAGCTTCCTGTTGTTAACTAATCTCTGGGACACTTCACCAATCCCATGGAAACCAGTCCCTGCATTCAGTTTCCTCTGTTGAAAGAGGTGCTTTTGATCCTGACTAAAATAACATGATCCAGGCTACAACATGGGAAGTTCCGAGTACCATGGGAACATACATTCTCGGTCAGTATAGCTCTCAATCATATACCTCTCCACGTTATTACTGGCATTATTGTTGTTTACAGCTGCAGTATTACTGCTCCCAATCTTCCGTCCTCTGCTTTCAGTTCCCTAGTACTCTTTCTCTCTCTGAAGTTGTATTGCTTCATCAGAGAAAGAGAGAGACAGACACCCAGTAGAGTCTTCACACTGTAGTCCAACCCAGCCTCAGCCAGCCTAAATTCTGGGTACATATGTGTGCACAGAGGGGCCCCCAGGACCCAGCCCCCAGATCTCCCCATGTGGGTCCAATATTACTGTGTTACTACTGCTCCATCATCTGGCCCCTGGTCCTCTTTCAGTGGTGCTAAGGCCCTGCTCAGTGAGAACTGGAGGCCTGTATGCTCCCAGGAGCAGAGGAGATATTTGGTAGAGCAGTGAGGGTGCTGTCAGGGCTGGTCCTGGCTGGAAGGTAGGGTGGGCAGCAATGAGCAGAAGTCCCTGGGGCAGAAGGATCTGGATGAGATATGCGTTAGGCCTGCTGAGTCAGGTGAGTATGGACCAGCTGGGCACCAGGGAAGGCATAAAGTCATGTGGGAATCTGAGCTTCATGTGCACACTGGCTTGGTAAGATTGTGTGTATGGAGAGGCGAATATTGGGCGGACCTGATCTTTCTGAGAGGTTGTGTGTGGCCCCAAGCTTGGAGAAAAGAATGCTTGTTATCATAGAGCAAATCCACCACCACCACACCCCCCACACACATGCAGACACTCCAGTCTACTTGGCACAGTGCCCCCAAGGAGCCCGGGGGAGAAAGCCAGGTGTTGTTCCTGCTTGAACATCTGGTTGAGTTCCTGACCTTCTTGCTTGGAACAAAAGGCACCTATTAGTTACCTCCCTGGACAACATTTTGTTAAAGGTAAAAAAATGTTATAAAAAACATCTAACATATGAAAATAAACTTTGGGGCTGACCCTATAATGCAACAGTTAAGTCCCATGCATGGGCAGCTGGATCCCACATGGCTGACTGCAACTGAAGTCCCAGCAGCTTGAAAAACATGGCAGGCGTGTGTGTGTGTGTGTGTGTGTGTGTGTGTGTGTGTGTGTACGTGTACCCAGAGCCTGACGGGATGGAGAATTGGAGGAAAAATTATTATAGCATGACCGTGCTCCATTGTGTGTGGGGGTGCTTTCTCTTTCTCTCTTTTTCTCACTGTGGTGAGCACACATGCTCTCTGGCAATTAAAGCAAGATTTTTAAAAAATAAAAAAAATTTTAAGATAGTTTTTGATGCACAGAAAAATTGTGAAAATAGTACAGCGTAGCCATGGTCTCCACAGCCGGTTTCCTCTTTATTAACATCTCATATTAGTGTAGTTCATTTGTCACAACTAATGAGCCAATGTAGGGTGTTACTTACCAGACTTCATACTTGGTTTGCATTTCCTCTGTTCCCCTCCCCCCCCCCAGTGTCCTGTTTCTTCTCCCAGATCCTGTCCAGCTTCCCACAGTACATTCAGTCATTGTGTCTCCTTCGCTTCTCTTGGCCATGATAATTCCAGACTTCCTAGTGTTTGGTGACCTTGACAGTTTTGAGGAATAGTGGTCAAATGTTTCATAGCATGCCCCTCATTTGGCATCTGTCTGATGCTTTTCTCATGATTAAACTGGGCTTTAGCGAGAGATCCTAAAGGCGTAGAAAGCTGAGGAACACTTGAACTCCTGCTGCCCTCCTGTTTTGGCTAGAAGGTGCTGTGAAGTGACTTAGGTCTTGTGTGGGGTTGACTCCATCAATTCCAATATAGTTTCTACTTTCAGCTTTCCCAGGCCAACGTGGATTTCTAGCTTCTTGAGTATGATTAGGTTAGCCTCTCAAGTACTCACCATTCATAATAAATACCACTTCATCCCTGATGGTGAGTTCTGCTCCTGAGAGCACGTTCGTGCACTGTTTACTGTTTGCTCATCATGGGAACTGCTCCGACATAGGTAGATCGACGTCCTTCTGACTTCTGGGCCACATAGCAACTAGATGGTGACTTGGCAAGTTTTGTTCAATTTCAGTATCACATTCGTATTCCAGGGTTTAAAGAGTTAGGACAGTGGGGCCAGTGGCTCTTAGGGCAAGTTCTTTCATTATGAGAATCCACATGGGATTATTACACCCATATACCTATTCCCAGTGCTTTCTCCTGGCCGCAGCAGACAGCTGGCCTCCCCTTTCAGAAGGCTTCTTGCTTCTTATTTTGTCCCAGAGAGAGATGGGTGATTTCCTTCATGTTTTCCCGATGCTCCATTTCACCAGGCTCCGTAGCTGACTTGTCTAGGGCAGTGATTCTCTCTTTCATTTTCATGCTGAGGTCCCTTAAGAGCCCCAGAAAGCTCAAGGAGCCCGTGGAATGTTCAAAGCAGAACTGGTCTTAGCTCACTTAAATTTTGTTGTTGTTTTAATTTGCCAGAGGGCATGCCCACTTGCCAGAGAGAGACAGAGCGAGAATGCACCCTCATGGGGATGGTCACACTGTAATCCCTTCTCCACGTCTTTCTCCTTTAGGGATTTTGGGCTTGCATACACACACACCTAGTTTTTTTTTATTTGGGGGGGAGGGGTGGTGAGAGGTTTTTTGCTACGCTCACCAGAAAGACAGAGAGAGACAGAGAGAGAAAGCGAGAAATCACCCCCCAGAGGGATGGTCACACCGCAATCCCTTCTCCTCCATTCTCCTCCTGGGATCTTGGGCACACATGCACACATTCCTGGCATGAGTTGAAGCCACCAAGTCTGGGACTCGAACCACGGTCAGCTACGTGAGAGTCCAGCAATATAGCCATTATGCCAACTGCTGGTCTCACCTGGTATGTTTTTCAAGCCACTAGATCCAGGACTTGAACTACACAGTCAGCCACATGGGATCCAGCTGCCACAATCACCACCCCACCCCACTGGTTGGCCCTCGTTGCTGTTTTTAACTTGGATTTTGCATAAGTACTACGCGGTGCTGTGGGTGGGAGGGCATTTTGGGTGGTTTGCTGAGAAGGCCTCAAAATTAAAGGATTAGGTGTCTAGACTCAGATTGCTGTCATTGGTCCAGGCTCACACCTGATCCAGGTATGAGTCTTATGTGCACTCTGGCTAGGCGGGATCCTTCACAGGCACTTCTAAAGAGCATGGTCCTGGACAGACAATACTTTTCCCTTCCTTTGAAGGTAGAGAAATATTCATTTGTGTGAGACTTAAGCCTGATAATGGTATTCAAACTGACTACAGACTTTCTGAGTTATGAAAATATGGGGTTGCTTCTGTTTTCTCATTTTCTGAGGCTTTGTCTCAGGGTAAGAAAACAGTATGTCTTAAGATCAGTAGAAAGATCTGGCCACAGCTTTGGGTCCTATGGCTTAATTCATGGAGGAAACTGAGACAAGGCACTGACTTTCCTGCTTTCATGACAGAATGGTGACAGTTGCTCAGATTCCCATCTGTAAGTTCATTGCTCGGTCTCTGCAGCAGCAGGAGTCGCTGACTTAGGTTTGGTCACATAGTCTGCTGAAGCTCAGAGGGTATCTTCGTGTTCATTGGATGCTTAGGTTATAAGTTCGGATTCATGTACTGAGTACAGAGAAGAAGCTTAAACCACTGAAGTACGTCAATCATCTATCCTGTATAGAACTGTGTGTACCACCAAGGGGAAAAGAATGGCATTTGACAAAGTTCCTCCATCAGGGCGTTCTCAGTCCTCAGTCTCCTGGGGAAGTAGCTGTATTTGGTGAAACTAATAAGCACCATAAACAAGGACCAAGGGTCACAGAGGAAGTCGTCATCTCCCATTTATGATATGCCTATGATATTGTTGGAAGAGCAAAATATTGACAAAAATCCTCAAGGATTGGCAGAGGAAACTATAGCATGTCCGTGGAACGGTATGTTACATAGCCACTAACAGGAATAAGGCAGGTTGATATATAATAAAACATTTCTAAGACATATTGGTAATCTTGCAACTCAATAGAAAACAAAACAGAACAAAACAAAACAGTTCAAATATGGACTTAGAGCTTGAAAAGATATTTCTCCAAAGAAGACACACAAATGGCCAACAGATACCTGAAAACATTCAGTGTCGTCAGTCGTCAGGCCAGTGCAAATGAAAGCCACATGCAGTGAGCCATCATCAGGATGGTTATTATGCGTGTGTATACACACAGTATATTTGCACACACACAGACATATGCTTAAATTATTTCTGGTCGATTATAAACAATGGTTTACTTTTGCAGAGTGGAACTGTTATGTTCTACTTTATATCATTCTGAAGTATTCAGTTTTTAAAAACCATGTACTTCTTAATGATTTCTTTCTTTTTTTTTTTTTTTTTTTTTAGAGGTTTTTTTTTAGGGAACGGGGACTCGCC